TAAAACTATAGTCCACAGGACCCGTGGGTGGCTCAGTCAGTTAAGCGTGGGACTCTTGGTTCAACTGGAGTCGCGATCTCATGGGTTGTGGGACTGAGCCCCACATCAGGCTCCTCACTCAGCAGGGAGTCTGCTTGAAAGATTCTCTCCCTCTGCCCCTCCCCCAACTCATGCACGCATGCTCTAAAAATAAATAAATCTTTAAAAAAGATTAAAAAAATGGGCTTAAAAAAACTATAGTCCACAAACATTATAGCAACACTAGTCTAGTGATATAAGATTAAGTCCTACTTAATGGCAATAAGTTATAAAAACTGTCTCTATGCCTCTTTACCAGAAAATAGAGATCTTCTGCCCCTTCTCCAAGCCCCAGCCACAACCACATACCCCAAACAACAAATGGGTAGAAAGTAGGAAAATGAGCACTAGATCCTTTTTTTTTCTCTTTAATTATTGAACCTGTGACTGTTCTGCCTTAGTAGAAACATATCTTACTCAAGAGATTTGGAAATTGGCTAGCAACAAAGAGAGTTATGTGTGTGTATGTGTGTGTGTGAGTGTGCACGCACATGCAAACGTGCAGGTGTGTATGTAAGCAAAGCAAATTGTTTTAGGGTCATGAAATACCTGCTTCTCAATGATCTGGGATATATTTGCAATGACTAGTGTTTTTACAAAAAAGCTTTAATTGCCATCTACATGGCAGGAACCTAGAGAGGCTTAGGGTTCTAAATGAGTTCTGCTTGAATCCAAAAATCACAGAAATCCAAAACTAGAAAATATCACAGAAGTCTTTTAGTCTAAGCGTCCTCACAGTTAAGGAAGGGCTTTTTCCTGTTCCCTCATTTGGTTGTTTAATTTTCACTGAAATACTAGGAAAAAACCCTAGCTACAGTAAGTCACTTTGTTTTTCAGAAAGCCCCATCCATTTTTCTGGATGTAATGTTTAGGAAAAAAAGAAATCCTTCTAGAAGTAATAAAGCCACCTCCTTTTCATTTCTGTTCTGAACTCTTCTGTCTTTGCTTTCTTCTGCAAATTGTCTGCCCTAGAGAACCTAAATCTCACCATTCTACTTCACCCGTCTCCTCCAAACATTTCTGTTCCTGATCTAACTTTGTCCTCTTTCAAGATCAAACATCCTTCTTCTACATAGTCACTGATCTGTCTGCCGAGGTGCCTTATAAAAGATGAGAGCAGGAATTGAAGAATCTCTCTGGTTTGTTTATTCTTCCCATATCAAGGTCAACAGAACTTCCCACAGGTGTATCAGACCTCTGTGTATGTGACAGTAGGACAGACATAGCTTTGCATGCCCACCTGCTTAGAGCAAAGAGGTCTTGAATGGCAAGCCCATTTTCAACACTTTTTGGTACAGAATTCCAAAATATCATTCCAATAGAGACTTCCAAGGAGAGAAGACAATACTAACATTTTTAAATGTTGAGACTTATAGAGAAACCAGGAAGTCATCCTCAGTATTAGCTTCTCGTGAAATGCCCCCCAGCACCAAAACATTTGACCTTTTTCCCCTTGAACTTTGCCCAACCTGATAAGCTTCTGATAGCAAAAACTCTGATTTTTAACTTCATATTTTCCCTCAGTTCTACCCAACTCTTACTGTGGGATGCTATGTCATTATCTTTTCAAGGAGGCACCTTCTAAATTATGGAAATCTGCATGATGTAAAACAGCAGTGAAGGCTAGGGTGGGAAACTGTTTACTTAGCAAACATCTACCGTGGATGTGTTAGTCTGCAATATGTAGAGATGTCAGTTCTGATGGCAGTTCTACCATTTACTATATGAATCTGCACAAGTTGAATACAGTGTGTTGAGATTTGGTTTATTCATCTAAAATGATCTGCACGATCCACCTCATGGGTTTGTACTGAAGTTCAAAGCTGTCACAAGGGCATCGAAATGTTAAAACACTAAAATTTTAAAAATTACTGAAATTGTAATAAACAGTATAATAACAGTAAGCAGTATACATTCATTCGAGGTGTTTAAACTATTTTCTATTGAAAGCTATATGTGTTTCACTAAAAGATTGAGAGACAAGATCATTTCAGTTGTTCCCACCACGAAGTGATCCCTTTCAGATGCCATTTGGCTCAAAATATGAAAACTCTGGAAAACGTTCAGAATCATCACTTATCTCCATGGGTGAGTGCTCCCTAGCAGTTATCATGTCTGCAGCAGAAGCAAAGCCATTTTCCATGATTGTCTTTTGTGTCTGTTACTTGGATCCCAAATACCTTTTAGGCAAAATTTTCTTCTGTGGTTATAGTAGATTACATTTAATTGTGAGAAAACCAGTTTCCAATATGACTTAAGAATGCCTAAGAATATTCATCAAAATCCGTGATGCTTCCAGAAGCATTTTGGAGTAAGTTAGACCCCTTAGTATGTTTGCTTTGCACTAGCTCTTAAATTCAGGCTTAGTTGGTTTAAAAATTTTTTAATGATAACCAAAAGTAATTCTCTCCCAGATTTTTCCTCTCAATGTGGTGTTTTAAAGATTAAAAATCAAGATTTTCAAAAATTTAAAAAATGAAGTCCTGCCATTCATCATTAAAAAAAAAAAAAAAAAACTTCAAAAACTCACAGCATCTGATTCCAGCCCCTTGGATAAAGGTCCCTAATCACAGCATCCTTCCAGGTAGTCAGGAAGCCCCTGTTCAAACAGTCCCACGGGCTGAACACATGGAATTCTGTAAGGGTGCCCACTCCACTCTTGGACAATATTTATACTTCATTGTTGTATTCAGTCAAAACCCACTGCAAATTTTGCCTATTGCTTCTAGTTTCGTCCTTGAGAAAGAGCATGAGTTTTAGCTCTCATATGAGTCATATTTCTGTCTCATCTTAAAGTCTTGGTTGCAAATACCTTTTGAAGAACAGGACCAAGACTCTTAGGAAAAAGAAATGCAAAATATCACTTCTTTCATATTCATATTCTCATTTCATATTTCATAGAGCCCAAACATTGCTGGCTGAAGAGTGACTGGCACGATAAAGGCCTGATGGATTCCCCAGTGCACGCTTCCCTGGTACCATGTGCATTTCCCCTAGGTTGCCAGCTCTGTGAAGTCAAGAGTTTTGGCTCTTGCATTCATTCTTAGATCCTTAGCATGCTGCCTGCATCAGAATAAGGGATAAAATTTTTTTAATATAAATGATTAAATATACGAATGTATGCTTGACTCATGAACATATGATTGCATGCAGAATGCCTGAATACATATATAGACTCTGGAATCTGTCTACCATGAGGATACCATTCAATATTCAAATTTCTAATTTAAACGACAATGCTTCAACAGCCTAAGAATTATTTTTTCTGCTTTCTTTTTGGGACCAGGTCCGTGCTATGTGTCCTGGGAGAGCAGGTTTTCCGAGGGCACTCCTCCTTGCTTAGTTCCTATTTTTAGGCTTCTCAGTAAACTGTGGGGAGACAGCCCAAAACCCACGGATGGCCACTAGGGGTATAACACGTATCTAATCCAGTTCATCTAGGTGACTTAGGGGAGTACATGGTTTACGTCACCGGATGTGGAAGAAGCTGCCATGATTGTGGACACCCACGGTGGAACTGAGACAGACGTGTGCTAAACCTCTATGGCAGATGGCTTCTCAGAATAAGGCATGTTGTAGCTCTGTAAGATGATCAAAGACAGTGGACATCTATTTGTCCTTCAGGCAAAATGGATACTTGTCCCAGAGGGTAATTTCATTCTGATCCGTTCTGAGCAGAATACCTGCAGAAGATTTGGGTGTCTGTATGACAAAATGACTGAAGGTGGTGGCCAAAAGTCCAGGAGGACTCTTGTCATGGTCAGAAACTGGAGGGACTAGAGATGAGTCAAGACCAGGACACAGAAAGGGACGGGGCCAAAGTCCATCTGAGAGACCAGACAGAGAAAAAAACTACAGTAATCAGCTGAATATGGAATTCAGAGAATGAGAAAGTAGACAGATTCAGAGAAGGTTCTAATGAGACCTGGGCAGAAATGATTTTATACAAATAAATGTTAAAAATCAGTTAGAAAAGCCTCTCATTTAATAGATGTTCTACTTTTTTCTTACCTGAACTGAAAATAATCCATTTAAGTAGAGCAATTAGTTTTTTTTGATGGCTATGATGCATCATTTCAACAATGATCCATCTTATTTTTAAACAGCATAACTGAATAAAAGATGGTGCTGTTTTCAGTGATTTTCATGAGCTACTCCTACTGGAAGGAAGCCAAGCTCCTCAGACCCCAGCCCATACCCAAGTTCCTACACCTTCCTGGCAGCAGCTTGCCCTCATTAAATATCATTAGGCAATGTATGGAGTGTTAGCCCTGCAAACTCAGCCTTGTAAAGTGGAATGAGCATGACAGAGAAAGAAATTTTCCATCTGTGATCCAAAAATAGCACAGACAAGTCTCTGGGCTCAGGTAGGTCTCATGCTTCATGGAAGGTAACATAAAAAATTATAAGACCTCTTGGTCATGGATTTTATGACACAGGCAATAGCAAAAGCCACGTGTAATTGGAGTGGCTGCAATAAGAGAACTGAGCTTAGCAGCAGTAAAAACAACAAAGAATAAATGAAGAATTCCTGTTAGCTTGTCTTTGCCTGTTGGTGTTAACTATACATAGAGAGATGATTAGCATGCTTCTAAAATGTTTTGTCTACTGGAAACCTATGCAATAATGTATGTATAGTATATATATATATTATATATTTGTATATTATGTATACAAATAAATACATTTCTATATGTGTGTGTGGGGGGGGCTGTGTGCACAGAGTCTTTCTGACATAACATACAAGCAACAATGCTGATCAGTGTTAACACTGTTTATCTCTGGGGTGTGGGACTCAGGCCACTACACGAGCACAGAGGAACATCTTGACCTTGCCTGTGATTCTCATCTGTGCTATTAGAACTTTTTTTTTTTTTTAATAAAAAGCATGTCCTATCTTTATGATAAAAAAAAAAACTAAACATGTGAAATAAAATTGACATGTAAAAAAATAAAACTGCTGCCCCACATATTATAAAACATGGATATTACGAGAAGTCTAGGAAATACATTTCAGAAATCCTTTAGGCAAAGAAATGGTTACAAGGTCCAAATGCAAACTGCCTGTTGAGTATCTCCCAATGCAAACACATCGGCCTAATTGCTAAGGCCAGCTACTACAATGGGCTAGGGGGGGCTGTCACTAATGTCATGGCTGTGCACTTGCCAGCTAAATTCTCTTCTTCAGAAATTGCATGGGTTTTAGGTTATAGCCTCCATAGAGGTAACCAGAACTCTCAAAGTGAGATTTGCGGCCATGGTATTTATTTCCTTCTTGGCTTCTGGTTTTTTTTTTGTTGTTGTTGTTGTTGTTTTTAATCAGTCCTTGAATGTGATAAAGCACAGCTTAACTAGGTGAAGCTGGGTTCTAAACTGGGTTCTGTTTCATTAAATGTGTACTCCTGGAATATAGGGCTCCGAAAATGACTACCTTTAAGGTTCTCTCATGTGGTCTTGTAATAACTCTCCATTTCTCATACCCCTCCCTGTCAACCAAACCCACAAATGGAATGCCCATGAGGGGCTCTTCTGAGCCAAACACAGAGGATTGGCAGCTAAGCCAGCCATGCTCCAGTACTGTCCCGGGAGGTTTTGTAGAAAATGGTATTTCTGTGAGTATACAGTGTCATGTCTTTTAAATTAAACGTTTGTGGGTTTACAGATCCAGACCAGGGCCAGACCATTGGCTTCTACCCTTTCTGATGGCCCATTAAAGGGGAGACTCTATACTTGAGCTGAGCTGGAAACTCTTGGAGCATGTGGCCTCAGCTCTTTCTGAAGGCCAGGACTGTCCCACGCAGTGATCAATTTTAAAAAGTGCTACAGGAGGTAGGTTTAATATTGAATCCATTAAATATGTAACTGTTCCGTTCATTTTTGATGTCCTTTCCTCGGAAAACCCGAGTCCTGAGGGTGTTTGCTTTTTCAAAGAGACATTTGCTTGTTGTACATAGTTTCCCATCCATAATGTAGAACTTTTTTTGGCTTGGAATGATTTCCAAATGTACCAGAACCCCTATAGTAGTCATTACCTTACCTATTTTCATACCAGGAATTTACTGTGACTTCAGTCGGACCTATTTAAATTGGCCTGTAGCCTTCTATACCCTAAGTTTTCTCTGGGCTGCTTTGAAGCATCACAAAGAAATATGAGATGGTAGTTGGTGAAAATAGTCCTTTATCCCAGAAATGGCGGCTGGGTAACTGACTGTGTGGCCAACTGTTTGGCTTAATCTGGGGAATGGAAGGCACCATTCAAAGCCAGATCCAGTCTGTTTTAAGGATTATATTTCTGTCATCACAACATCTCTTAGACAGTCCCACCAACTGAAAAACTCCCAGATGAAGCCCAGTGATTAAATTCTCCTGGAGCCTATTTTTTCCAGTTTCTGGAAACAACATACTGCCCTCCTCCTTACCTCCCCATAAAACCCAACAGATAATTCCATTTCTAAGACTGATAGATGGAAATAGATTACTCATAACCAACCTATTCTCCCCCCACCGGAAATAACACCAATAATTTGATTTTGAAAAGGCTAAAGAGATGCTTCATCCCCACCCACAGAGAAGATATTCCTCCTTAGTACAGTACTCATATCTGTCCTCTCAAAATGATAGGTGACCAAAATGCAATTCAGGTAAGCAGTGCGTCACCACTGGACCTTTAAAGTAAATGCAGAAATACGATCATTTATGTGTTCACATGCAGAGACACCAGGGAAGCACTTTGCTTGTGTCTAAGAGCCAAATGGAAGAAAGCTCAGAAGACCTCAGCTTTAGTCTGAAACAACTTTGGATCACCCACTTGTGTTTCTGACTCCTACCCACGTCAAGTAGGCCTCTTCACTGAAAGTTAGAAGCCTTTTCCTCCTGCTCTTTTAGTTATCACAGAGTCCCTACTGGAGGGACCTGTAAGTACCAACTGATCCGTGGCAGGATTCGAAGTCGTAATTCCAACGCCAGAGACACATTTCTGGCTCAGCTCCCACAGTGGTTTTGTACTAAGAATTTCCTGGTAGGGGGAAACGAAGAAAAGAATAGATTAGACAACCCCGTATGTAAGAAATGGGGTTACAGTGCTATCAGGTATAATCTTGGGACCTGACAAGTAAAAGGTGAGGCGTCCATCGGGAAGATCCAGCCGTCCTGGAAATCCAGCAGTGGAACTCATAAAACAAGGCTTTGTCCTTGGGACAAGGCTTACTCGGGGTAGTGAAAACCAAACACTTAGAAGGAAAACCTAAAATGGGCCCCCTCTCACCACTACACCCAAGAGTCTCTACTTATTAGCCTCTGTGCAACATGCCCACAACTGTTTTCTTGCTTAAGTGAGTTATTTTGACATATGTTGCTGCTTTTGCATTGGCTGTTTTATTTCAAGTCAGTTAGCCTGCTTTCTATTATCACTAGAGAAAGTCTGGAAGGGAACGCAGTCACAGTGCTCCATTTCCTGGAACCACAGTCCCCACACGTGGTTTTCTGCTCAGCACCTTCAACCGCACTTAAAATCCAGCGGTTCCGCCAAACCGGCCGTGGGCCTTCGTTCAATCCTGTGCTGGTCTCTTATCGTCTACATCGCAGCAAAAGGCAAAGATGGCTACACGGAGGCAGTATGGGGCTGTGCAAACAGCCCAAGCTGAACCAGTCCTTCATGGCTATCAGCAACAGCCCCGCCCCCAGGGCCGGGCCCTGGGTCCCCTCCCATGCCACCTCACCATACTGCAGAGGTACAGCACACAAGTTGACATTATCCATGTGGCACGTCCCAGCTCCTACAGAATGACAAGGGATGAGGGAGGAGGGCAGGGGAGACATGCAAACGGTCACTAATAGTCTCTGTATATTTCATCTTGGAAAGAGAAGCAGCTTTACAGTTGTGTTTCTGCGGGACTTCCAGAGGGTTTTCAGAGACCTCCAGAGTGCCTTGTGGTCTTCAAAGACTGAATGTAGAGAGAGCAGATCGTATTTACTTTTTTTTTTTTTTGAATGATGGGTAGTTGCAGTAGAATTGTGGGGTACAGAGGAGTCGTGAATGCACAGGGGGAGGAGGGAGCAGTGCCATTTGTACGAACATCCTTTGAATCTCGAAAATAAATTATACAGGTGAACACAGAAGTTCATGCTACTTGCTGGAAGCAATAAGGATCAAATTTTGTGGAATGTGTATTCCACAAATCTCCAGGTACCCTGCCTCTTCCTCAGAGGGCTATCGTGTTCTGTTGGACATCCTGGTAGCCCTTAATAACTGGTGGCATGGTCTCAGATAGATTCTTGCAGAGAGAGACAGATTTGTGGATTCCATCAGCTTCTTCCAGGGGAGCTGCCCGATTGCCGGGAGGGCACAGGTGATACGCTTGCTTAGGTTCTCTTTGCAATCTACCAGGGTCAAACAGCAGTTTCCAGGTCCTCATGGCCAATGATCTTATAGTTCTGGCGGCTTTCTAGGTATGCAGCCAAATCTGGGTCTCCAGCCTGCTGTGCTCTGTCTTGAGGTGTCTTCCCCTAAAGGTGACAGTGGGAAGGAAGGAGACACAAATACGTGGAATGAGATTTATTTTTTTTAAATCATGGGGGTATTCAAAGATTACTCCCCAAAGGATTTTTCCATGCTTATGGTTTTAGAGTTGACGAGACACTTTCAAATCTATTGTCACATTAAACCCATGAGGTAGGTAAGTTCGAGAGAAAGACACGATCACTTGACAGGTGGGGCTGAGGAAAAGGGGGTTCGGAGTAACAGCTGAGGAAAAGGGGGTTCAGAGTAACAGCAGGAAAGAGTGTGGCACAGTGAGTTTGGGAACCCCAATTCTTTCTGGGAGAAGGGGGATAGAAATCACTGAAGAGAAAAGTAGGAAGTAGGCTTTCAGATGCCCGATGCCAGACTCTTCCTATTACACTAAACACTAAACTCTGGGAAGCAGCAAGCAGAAAATGAGAGTACCGGATGGTTGTAAATGATCTAAAGATGTTTCTTTGCTGGTTTCAAAGTCTTCAGTTAAGTTCTCCCAATTCAGAACTATCTCATCTCTCCAAAAAGTGAGTTAATTTCTGACTACAAAAGTGATGGATGTTGATTAGATAAACTTGGAAAAGCACAAAAGTGTTAGGAAGAAAATAAAAATCACCAGTAATTCCTATACTACACTAAGATAACTGCTGTCAACCTTCCACAGAGTAGCTATTTTGTCTTTTTTTATGGCTCTACACATAACAATTTTTGTAAATAGAAAACCATACTATGGGGCACCTGGTTGGCTCAGTCGGTTAAATGTCTGACTTCTGATTTCAGCTCAGGTCATGATCTCAGGGTCATGAGATCGAGCCCCATGTTGGGCTCCATGATGAGTGTGGAGTCTGCTTAAGATTCTCTCTTTCCTTCTCCCTCTGCCCCTCCCCCTGCTTGCATTCTCTCTGTCTCTCTCTCAAAAAAAAAAAGTCTAAAAAAACCCCATACTCTGTTTACATACTATTATATAACACACTTTTTCACTTAACATGTCAAACCTTTATGTCATTCAGTGTTCTTCTACATCATCTTAAAGGACTGTATCATTTCTTGCAGCCTACTATAATGCCATATGCATGTTTATACACACAAATGATATTTTTGGAATAAGGTCAACGAATAGATTCGGTAGTAGAAGGAAGGAAGGTCTCCATTCTTTTGAATGCATATAGATATTACGTAATGCTCCTTGAAACTTCTAATTTTTGTTCAGGGATAATGGCTTTATCTATTTAAAAAGTAATATAAGGGGCGCCTGGGTGGCTCAGTCGATTAAGTGGCTGTCTTCAGCTCAGGTCATGATCCCAGGGTCCGGGGATCAAGCTCCACATCGAGCCCCACATTGGGCTCCTTGCTCAGTGGGGAGTCCGCTTCTCCCTCTCCCACTCCCCCTGCTTGTGCTCCCTCTCTCGCTGTGTCTCTCTCTGTCAAATAAATAAATAAAATCTTAAAAAAAAAAAATAAAAAGTGATATTAAATTCAAAAAGATGGAGGCATGAACATTGTACCAAAGAAATAGCTCCATGTATAAATGCACGCGAGTTTTACGAAAATTGCTGAAGGCTTCTCAGCCTCCATCTGAGTCACTGCAATGGAGAGTGTCAAGCTCAATTAAGCCTGTAGCTTACAAGGGTATGTGGGTAGAGAATAAAAGGAAAGTAACAGTGGCTCTGGATTCTTTCTAAAATTTTACTTATTTATCTGGGATTTAATATTGAACCACTAGCTTAAAGTTCCTATATAAGTTTTTCCAACTTGTTTATAGTATTAGTAGATTATCTGATCTTCAATATTAATAAGGTTGGAATTACTAGCTTCCAAGTATTCAGAGAGGTGGACTGGAGTGGCCCTTGAGTTGATTTTTAAAGGAACTGTTCTCGGGGCGCCTGGGTGGCTCAGTTGGTTAAGCGACTGCCTTCGGCTCGGGTCATGATCCTGGAGTCCCGGGATCGAGTCCCACATCGGGCTCCCTGCTCAGCGGGGAGTCTGCTTCTCCCTCTGACCCTCCTCCCTCTCATGCTCTCTGTCTCTCATTCTCTCTCTCTCAAATAAATAAATAAAATCTTTAAAAAAAAAATAAAGGAACTGTTCTCATCAAGAGAAATTATCAAGATATTGCTTCTCCCCAACCCCAAAAAAAAAAATCTAGGAAAAGATCCAGTCATAATTATCATGTTCTGCTTTAACTTAGCATAAAATTACAAAATGGGAAAATTAACAGGTCTCCCAAAAGGATGAAGCATAGACTATTTCATACAGTAAGACCTCTAGAACACAATGTTGGGGGAACATAAGCATTCTATAATAGCATGAATAGTATGACTTCACTGACTAAAAAAAAAAAAATGAGAGAGAAAAACAGGCATACCTACATGTGAAGAGAGATCGTTAAAATTTTAATAGTATATAGGTCTAGAGTGTGAGATTTCTAGTGATTTTTATCTTTGAAGAATATCTTTGCATTGCTTGAGTTTTCTATATAAGAATGCACTGTATTTATAATCATAAAATTAATGAAGCTGTGTTTTGAAAAAAAAGCACACACATACATAACACAAAAGAGGAAGCAATCTCAAGGCATGTTGAGCCCATTTATCTGATTCAGAAACTTAGAAAGATAAAAAAGAGCAATCTGCTCAGGGGCCAGGTCTCCTGCCCAGTCTTTTAAAGAGCAATCTGCTCAGGGGCCAGGTCTCCTGCCCAGTCTTTTGTTTGTCTCTTTCAGGTTGCTCCTCCTTTTCTTTTGATTTCCTGAGGTGAGTGTGAGAGCAGTCTTTTGTGTGGTCAATAGGCAACTGCCACGCTGGAGTGTGAGTTGGCCCCAGACAAGCCAAACCTACCTGAAATCGAGGCCTCCCCTGATCCTGTCTATAGGGTTTGTGTTCCTCCATCGGATTACTCGACGAAGAGTTTAAGCGCAAATATCATCTGGGAAGAATATCACATGGAGCACTTATCTGCCACTTGAAATCCTATACCCACTTAGCTAACCAGGTAACAGACCAGCTTAACATGTCCCACAGCCCTAGGGAGGAGGAACCCAGGTGGCCAGGGTCCTCTGTCGGAGAGCAGGGATCCGGTGGACTGCAGGGGCGTGGAGAATCACGCAACGCAGCTGGCTCAGAACTGGGGTCGAAGGAAAAGAGGCCCACACAGGAGATAAAGTTATTTTATGGCACTCACTGCAGTTTGAGGAACCCCCAGGGTGAAAACTGCACATAAGCAGTTGCTCGTCCCTTAAAGAGGTCTCATGGGGAATATGTCTGTGTTCCTTGGCTACATTCATCAGCCCCAAACTTAGGCTATTCAGTGCCTTAGCTTAATGAAACCCTCATCTCTATATTAAAATTCTTCTCTGCAACCCTCTACAGTTAAACGGTTTGTCCTTAGCATCTACCCAGGGCTGCTCAGGCTCCCCTGCGGCACCGAGGTATTAACCGTCTTCCACCCCCCTCCACCCCGCCCTTCCCTTCTCCTGGGCTGCAGTCCCCGGGCTGCACCACTGAGCTACACCTCTTCCTTTGCTCCAGCTTTCAGCCCTTGCCTCGGTGCTCTCTGTAAATGAACAATTCACAGTGCAGCCTGATCTCAGGTCTCCTGAACGGAGTTTCTCCTGATGCCTGACCTCTACCTGTTGGCATCTTTCCGGTCAAGGTCGGCACCGTAGGTCACTCTATCAGTTTCTGGCCTCACTGCCCTCTCCTTAAGACACTAACACACTTTAAAGCCAGATTGACATGCCTTTTGCTGCAGGGGAACCAACCACATTTCAAGTCACGATGCCGTAAGTACCACTATAAGGCAAAGACATGATCCAAACCATTCAAGAAAAACCCACTTTGTGACTTTGTTGCCACACTTCATCCCATTGGATCCAGGGGGGTGTTCTGTCACCACAGGAGAACAACTCATCTGCTGCGCTGGGTGTCAAAAGAGCTAAATTTGGATTTGGGCTCAGCTCCTGGTCTAAGGGTACAGAGCTTTCTTTGGGTTTCAGTTTCCACGTCGATGAGAGAAATTCCCACCCTAACTTCAGGGGTTAACTTTCAGGGAAAAATATAAGAAAATAAGTAGGAAGAAACTTTTAAAAATAAAAAGCCAACGTAAAGGCACCAGATTTAAGGCTGTAACCTCTCCAAGTCCGGGCTGACCATCCTGACAGCGGCGGCTAATAACCCAGGCACCCGTAAACCACAGATCGGAAGCTACCCTAGATAAAGCCACTGAAGGAGAAATTCCAAAGCAGGCCAATGTCTTCTACGCCTCTCCTAGGGCTTTGAACCTCACCTCCCCGCAACTTGGCTGCTGGCATTCGGCAGGACAACCCCAAAGTCCCAAGGCCAGCACATTCAGAGGTTTATAAAGTCCCATAGGCAAGCACACACCCTTCCCTTTGTGCTTATACATTTAAACTACAGTTGCTCTAAATGAAGCACTTTATTTTTTCCTCCTTTTTTCCAAAGCCCCAGGCACTTCCATAAGCACAGAAAGGATGCCTTTGCCCTGGGCACAAGTGAAGGCAATGGTGCCGGTGATCCTGCCCAGGAGGAGGATGTTTGCACTCACTCATCAGGTTACCTTGGAGTCCGTCTTTCTCAGAGATGCTCCCGCATCCACCAGAAGCTGGCACACGGCCCGGTTCCGCTGGCAGGCAGCCTTGTGCAGGGCGGTCTCACCCCTAAAGCAAAGAGGAAATGGGAAACCACCCATAAAGGGGTTGGGGGCGGGGGCGGGAGTGGGGGTGGGGCTGGAGGCTGCAGGGAGGGGGTGAGGGTAGCTTCCTATCCCTGCTGCTGAGGTTCTGGGCTCATCCGCCTCCTTCGCGATCTGCAGCTGAGATCCGGGCACATTCTGGGGAGGCGGATGAGGGGGTGTCTAAAAATGCCTTCAGTTAGTCATCAACGAACCAGAACTCCAATCGCTGTCTCAAGAGTGTTAACTAGGCTGAGTGATTTTGTTTTCAACCACCGACGTTTGATTTAGGTAACACTCCATGGCACTGTTCAACAAACTGATGTGTAGAGATGGGTCTGAGCACGGTGGAATGATTTTCTCTGTGGACACATGTGGGCAGAACATAGGGGCACCGGATCAAGTACACACGGGGCAGGCATGGAAAACCACAGGCCCCTCAGGCACCTCACACAGGTCTTGGCAGACCACCATCTGGCCCTCCGTGGAGTATCTCTGGGGGACTCGGCGTGGAAGGACCAGGTCAACACAAGCCACCCTACCTACTGATTTCATGCGAATGGCAGGTGGGAGGGTGCGGGCAGCCGCAGAGGACATCTGGGAGAGCTGGGAACACAAGCTCTACCCTGTTGGCCATAGGCCTCTCAGTATAGGAAGAGGGCAAAGCAAAGTAGCCATTTCTACCCCCTCTAATGGGCAGTCTAGGGAGGAGGAGGTTTCCATTCTGAGTCCAAAATTGAAAAGATGCTTAATGCCAAGCATGTGGAAAATCAAATGTAGTCCTTAGAACAAACGGGTTCATGACAACTTTGCCAGTAGGATGTGGTATGTGGACAAACTCTGTCACGACAGTGTCTTCCCTGTCTAGTAAGTCATAACTATAGAACTCTACCCTTCCCACTCAGCTTCCATTCTATTCATTTCTACTTTTCCTCCTCCAGACCTACTTAACTACTCCCCATCCATCTTTATCTCTTTTCAAATGTCTTTGAAGTTTTATAGTGCTTCTTATATGGCTTTCAGGGTGAGATGGCGAGCCTTTCTTTGTTCCTACTTGGGGAGTAGGAGCTATTTTGCTGCCCTAGGAATAAAAATGTTGAAAACAAACATTATCAGTTTGGGGACCACCCGAGAGAAGATGACTTTCTCAACCGGAGTTTCTCTTCTGAACCACAGAACATAAAAATGATTGGATTTACTATAGTCTTAATTCTCCAATGGTTGTATATACCTAGTTCCATTCCAGACCCGGTATAGAGGTTTCATTACAAACAAAGGATTCCGTAGGGTATTAGGACTTAATTTTCTCACAAACCCCAGTTGAGAAAGAGTAAATAAAAAAGGTAAATGTATTTATCTAGACTTCTCAGTAGTCCAAGATGCATCAGTGCAAAACTACCTTGCCTATAGGAAGCTCTAAATGATGACTAGCAATGACTGTGCATGCAACCATTATTGATTCTTGTCATCAATTTTTATTGTGTAATTTTTGATTTAGAAGATTAGCCCTGCACAGTTATAAATACAATTGAAAGTGAACTTCTTATCACTGACATTTAAATTATGTGCTGTATGCTCTATAGGCTACATTCTTCTCCCAGATATGTTCTAAAGAAAATAATCTAGACTATGTAATGAAAGGAAACACTCACGTTTCGCTGTCTGCCATATCCAATAACTCGGAAGGTCCTAAATAAGAGGAAAACAAGATGCCATCAAAAATAAGTTCAGAAACTAACATTAACAAAAAAATCTATAGTCACAGAATTAAAACACGTTGGAAAGCTGAATAAAGTAGAGTCATTTGGTGCAAGGGATATTAAGACCACCTCCCCTGCTCCACCCCCCCCCAAAAGAATGGATTTCTCTATTCCCACTCACCAACCTCCCAACCGCCACCAACCCATATGTGTGGAATAATACAGCCTATGCTTTTAAAGCAGCTTTCAATCAGGTTGAAGACATAAAATTAGTCAGAATAGAATAAGTGAGAAATAACTAAGTGGTTACCTTGGGGGAATGGGGACACTTCAGTGGGCTTTAAGGATTGTTTATCATTCCCCAGAGGCAGGTTGTTTAAGACGGGGTTTTATACTGGATAATTTTAAAGCTACAAGATACCAGAGATATCATCCAGTCCAATATCTATATTTTAGAAACAGTAAAATTACATTTTTCATAAAATTTCCCTTCCAAGACCTGGAAGAAATGTTATGCACAGCAAATGATTATAGATGCTTCCTTAGGAACTGAGATGTCTGATGAGTTTGTGCACTGATGATGTTCTATTTGTTCACCAATTAAATCATTCAATCTGCAAACAATGCTTGGAATGACCACCTTTCCACCTTCTGCACCAGTGATTCCTTCCCCAACCCTCCTGTACTCTAATCAGTCTACGGGTATCAGCTGAGACACATTTTCCATAAAGCCCTCTGCAACCCTCACTCCAAATACTGCATTAAATGTCCTGCCTATGTGCCCCCTCATTTTGTACACTAACCCTATGTCCTGTACTTGGGAGGGTAACATAATTTATCATCCAAATTGAGACTGTCCCAGACAGGTGGGGATATGTAATTACTTTAGTGATCATGACATTTAAACCAGAATAAAACCACCTGCGGATTTGTCTCTCTCCATAACTAGACTGTGGTAAACCCCCTGGAAGCTGTGGCTTATGCCTTGTTCACCACTACATCCTTCCTTGGTGCCTGGCATAGAGCCTGGTACCAAGCAGATGCTTACATGTTTGGTTGAATTAATGAATAAATGTGCTTGGACATGCCAAACACAGTTCTAGGTATTGAGCATTTTAGTCTTTAAAAATATGATCCTATTGATTTGCTCTCTGTCTTGTTGGATATCATTATAATTGAAAATTTGCTTTTATGATTACTTATTACATAAAAAGAAGAAAGGGGAGAGATTAGGACTTCCCAACCATGAAAGTCACTGGCCAAGAAGATGACTAAGATGCCATGGGACCTTCACAATCCTCTTGGTCATCCAAGAGCTGGCTCCTCTTTCACATCTACTGGCCGTCTAGGCCAGGTGAATTTTCCCTTGCATCCTCTGCCCTATTTGTCTCTCCTCTTTGTCCTATTTGACAAATAGGCTTCCTAATTGGTCTCTGCCTAGAGCATAATTAGCATTCAGAAACAGGTACTAAGAAAAATGAGAAGGTCTCTCATCATTCAGATTTCTAATTCAGCATATTGACTGCTTACTGCCAAGTATTCAACCATGAAAGTTTGCAGTCTTTCACCTGGAACTACCCTTCCTCAATTTGTTCCAGGTTCCATTTCTTCGTATCAGCTCAACTGGTAACTGTGCCATCACCCGCCTCTCTCTGGGGCTCTCCCAGCTCAGAGAGCTTCTTCCCTCCACTCTCCCGACCCAGAACAGCCTTCCCAATTTCTAGCCACATACCTAAGTCTGACCTGTCCTGTAAAGCCCAGTCTGTGACAAGGTCTTCTGAAACGACCAGCTTTGACAGAAAGAATCTATCCCTTCTCTGAACTCCTTCTCTCGTAACACTTACTTGGTTCCACCCTTGTATTATGTATTTGCTTTTCACTCATACGCCTTGTCTCCCTAAATGAATTATACTAAATCCTTGCCGTGTAAGAACATTTATTATTTTTCATTTATTATTTTTCTAGCACCTATCCTACATTAAGGATTCAAAAAGACGTAATGCATTTATTTTTGTTCCTCAGTCTTGTGGTTCTAAGGAAACATGAACGATAATGACCACAACAAACACCCAAAGAAGTGCAAGGCAGTACCATGTAGTGATGGGTACTAGAGCTGAACCTCCTTGCTTCAAAATTCTGGCTCTACTTGCCACTTACTGGATCTCGGGCCAGTTCATTTAATCTCTAGGTCTCTTGATTGCCACGTACATTTGAGAAGGATTGATAATATGTATCTCACAGGATTCTTGTGAGGTTTCATAAGTCAATATAAGTTATAGGCTTAAAATGGGAGCTGGCACGCTACATGCAAATTCAGATCGGAAGTGTCCTATTCTCTGACTTAAGCAGGTTACGCTAAGTGGAGATGTGGAGCATCAGCCGAGGGAGGAAATGTACTGGGCTCTGCACTTACCTCCATTCACTTCTGAAGCCACTTGTTGACTCAAATGCTAGGTCCTGAGAACCAATACTCCAAACCCCTTCAACTGTTGGCAGGGCATTCTCCACAAGGTCAAGAACAAGGACACTTACAATGTCCAGTGGTCCCCAAAGAGAGTGCCTGCCACCTTCAGCCAACCCTTGGAGCCGTTCGTTTGCAAAGAAATTCCATGAATAGGAGCACCCCAGCCCCACTCCACTCCAGCAGCTCTGTTCCCACCATTCACTGCTAAGTGCATTCTTATCTGGGCACCAGAGGCCTCAGCCCCTTCCCCCTTCATTCAGCACTCAGAGCTGCACCCACGGTGGGTCCACCAACTCCAGGGTCCATGCCACCATGTAACGAGAGGCTGTGGGACCAGCTACATCAGTGCCAAACCGCCGTTGTTTGACACTCTGAACGTGGGGACAAGGCAGAGAAGGGACCTTGTTCCTCAAGGGTCTTACAAGAATCGCCATAAATGCAGCCAACCCAGAACAATGGCAGAGCTGATTATCCAGTTTCTGAGTCAGGCATGCCTGTAGCTGCTTATCACCCTCCCCTTCTCTCCTTTTAATCCTCGGCAGCTGACAGAGGTGAGAGGAAGAGGTGCTGCTCCTAAAATGAGACATTCTTGCTCTTAATTAAAACCTAACAAAACTCCAATTACAGGTTTCAGGAATGGAATGGGCTCTGGAATGATGGACTTAATTAACCCAAACTTTCCTCATCTGCCCATCAATACATATAATCACCAAAGAGCAGAACGTTTTGAACAGTGTCAGGCAAATCACCAATGAAGAGGCAAGGGTGGCAGCGAACTGATGACAGGCGGGAGTGTGGAGCTATTTTTAATAGTACAGGTACATTTTCTAGTAATGTTTTAACCTGCTTTAAAATAACTGTGTTTGCATAATGCTGGTGAGAGGGGGTTGCAGAGGAGGAAATAAGAAGAGGCCTGAGTGCCAGGTGCAGCCCAGGAACAGGCTGGAGGTTCCCTCCCTTCCAATGATCTGCTGGGAGCTCCTTCAGTAGTATATTGTGCTGTTTAGTAGTGCTCCGTGCGGGTTAGTAGCATTGATTCTCCAATCTTACAATTTGGAGAAAGGGGGCATGGCCAGAGAGACAAAAAAATAATCCACCCAGACCTCACAAATTCTCTTTAAAGGAAAAAGTATTTTAAAAAAATAGAATCTATGATTTTTGGAAAGTTAATTTGAGTCTCACTCATAAGGGAGAGCCCAAGAGAAAGAAAAGACGATGGAATTCTTCCAGTTTATATCCATGGTGACTATTTGGATCTAAGGCTTATTGCATATTTTAGGTATGCATATGGTCTGATTGTGGATATCATGCCATCTCCCTTAGGGAACTGGAAGGAATACCATGACTTTGTTAGCAGTGAACTCACATTTATTCCCTGAATATAAAAGGACGTCTTGGTTCTCTGTCCCTTCTAGGGTTTATTACAATGTCCACACTCAGTCCCACAGGTGACCTACACCAGAAAACAACTGTTAAGTCCTGACTGAAGGGACACGTGTGCAAATTTCTCCATGAAACTTTCAGAGGCTGACGATCGATCACTGCCCCTCCACAGCTCTGCACCAGTTGTCACTGGAGCCCTGCATATAATACCTCTATCGATCTACCCTGCATTGTGGTTGTTTATCCGTGTTTCATTGCCCTCACCAGGTTTTAGAACTGTGGAGGGCAGAGACCATATACTACATACAAGTCTTGGCAAGTAACCTAACATCACTATGCTTCAGCTGTCTCCACCTGTCAGATGGAGATAAGAGAGCTCACTATGTAGAACTGTTGTAAGAATTAAATATGTTAATACATACAAAGCAGTTAGAACCATAAAAGTTAGCAGTGACTATCACTATAATATTTTTTCTCAAAAGTTCATGGGGGCAGAATTCATTTTTTTTCTAATAAATGAATGAAGACCTTTAAAAATCAATGTGGATCCCAGCCAGCATCCTATTTTTTCTCAGAGAAAGATCCATAAAGGTAACATGAATTCAAAAGACTGTGCTACATAGGGAAATGGTCCAAAAAATAAGGGGGAAAATGTACTAAGAGGATACCCACATCAGTATTCGGGCGAAAGCCAGGGAATGCGAGAGGAAGCCAAACTTCACAAAGCTCCCAACACGAGAAAGTGAACAGCATGGTTAGGCAGTCAAGCCTTCCAAACTGCAAGTTTGCTGCCCGGTGCTCATTCCACTGGCTCTCCCACTGGACACCCCAGCTTTTGCTGGCGCAACCCTGTCATCAATACTGTCCTCGTATTCTATATGATGTGTCTTTTATCATGTGCACCCTTTAGTTTGCTTCCCACATCAAGGCATCCAAATCCCCTTTGCTATTCCTTCCACCTCTCCATGGCCTCTCTCTCCCTGGACCTCATTTCCCATTAGTCTCCCAGACGCTGCCAGCAGACCATTCCAAATCCTCCTCTGCCCCAGGACAAAAGCCGCACAGATGTGGGGAGAGCTGGCTCTGGGAACTCTAACAGCACCGTCATCCTGTCCCAGCGGGGTGGTGGTCGTTTCTCTCGG